CACAAGATGCAGCCATGAAAGACACAGATATTCCAAAAGTTCTACTGGATCAAGAGGCCCCAGTTTCTTCTAGAATTTTTGCTTTTGCATCTGAAGACTTCTTCTCTGCCTCAAAATCATTCTCCTCTAGGGAAGACTCTCCTAAGCCTGTGATGAAATGCACTCTACTGCCAGGTTATGACAATGTTCACAAGTAACAAAGGTTGTAGGAGTGAGACAAAATTTGTGGTCAACTGAAAGTTAGGTTGCAGTTGATTCCTTAGAGGCAGTGAACTCATATGTTAACAAACACTTCCAAAGGTCACTAAGGCACTACAAAAAATGCTCTGAAATTGAAGATTGAGGATTCTTTCACTTTAAACTGCTTTTTATACACCTATATGTTTCAGAACCTGCCTATATTTCTGTACTTATTGTCTTCGATTGTGCACTTTCCATTCCTGCATAAATCTGCATGTAGGTGCAGTCAACCCCTTCCCACACCCTTCATTATTTAATGTACTATCTGAAGTATTGCTATATGCTTTTGATAGGCAACACTTTGATTGGTACTGCTTTGTTCTGCTGTGTTACATGAAAACCTGATTATCTACAGCCATCAGTCCCATTACAATAAGGCCTTGGAGTACAATTAGACTTTCAATTTTAACTTGCAAATCAGCTCTTGAATTTAAAATACTACCTTGGATATGACTAACTACAAGAATGAATTGTCTTGAATCACAGAATGCCTTTGTTATCAGATCCCAGCCAAGCAGTGGGCTCTGTTACTCTTAGGGACTCTGTTGACATTAATGAGGTCACACTTACACTGCAGATAGTAGCACCAAACAGAACTGAAATAGAAGGAAAGAGAGGGAGGACAAAATCTGAGCAGTCAGAAACATCAGATTAGTCTCCCTGCCCATTCACAGCTTTTCTGTGACCCCACTGCAGTCAATGGGAGTTTTGCCAATTAACTTCAGTGGGAGGAGAATCTGGGCTGGATTGAGGTTTCCTGCCTCTGCCCACAGCAACACAGATGAATTCCAGACCACTCTCAGGCAGGGGGGGCAAAAGGGCAGATTAACAGTAACTGTGGCAACAGGAGGGATGGTTCTTTTTGCTATCATGTCATTTTGAAATGCAGTAGCTGTTTTGTGCCATGACATGTGTTTCACCCCTCTGTCAAATTAATGTTTTCTTCCCATGCACAAG